TTTGGTATTTTCCAGTAGAAAACCTAAAGTGCGTTCAGACTTCGTCGCGCGAGGATCCCTCGATCGCTTGGCTGGATTGGGCCGTGTTCACGCAGTGCCAATTTCAATTGTTCCGGCGGTGGCGTACCGCTAGGTGGTGGAGCGCTTCCGATAGTGATGGCGCGATCCAGTGAACAATTCGGTCGCGCAGCGAAGTCTGAACGCGGTCTCACTCATCTTCCTGTCGTTGCTGTTTTTCGCTGAAGTTTTCCGCAGATAAAAGTTGTTGCCGTTACAGTGATTTCTTTTTATTTATCACTGTAATGCCTCCACTAGCAACAGACGCTTTTGCATTTTTTTGCCTGATTCATTAATCCTAGCAGGTTATGGGGCATCGCAGAGATCGCAAAGGTCAGGCCAATAGTCGTGCGGGTGTCGCTGGAGGAGTAACAAATCAACGCAATACGCTGGCTGTCAAAGCAGAGGCTGCTATTGGGGATCAACTCCTGCCAGGTGAATATTTTCTGTTTCATTTTCTACATTTAATAATTTAGGATAAAAGCTGTTGGGTGGAAGTGGGTCTTTTTCCTTGCAGGACGTCATCCTTGCAAATGTCAGGCCCGAATCCATGCTCTCGTCAGCAACTGTATGGGATGTGGAAAGATAGTATGTGTACAGGAAGGTAGTGGACCTTGCTTTTTCTGTGGAAATCTGGTCTGCACCAAGGATGAGAAAGAGGTGATGCCAACTTTAACAAGTTAGAAGGTGGGCCTGGTCCCCTTGGTTTTCAACTGGCTGAGATTTCATGTTAGACATTCGACTGAAAGTTGCTTTAGATTCTGGATCGAGGTTCTCGAAAAAGTGCTGAACTTTACTCTCATTTGATGGGCTTGAAGAAGGGTGGTAACACCAATGAATCTTCACTATCTGCTATTGGAGCTGAGTTCCAAAAAGCTACTCACTTCAGAAACAAGCTTCTAGCTGCCGACGCTGACTCGTAATTTTTTAATTCATTGTTGAATAGCAATGTGTTCGGCACTACTCAACTATTACTATTCTAAGAACTCAAAAAAATTTTTCGGTGAAACCTTGCCTACAAGGGTAATTCGATGTCCTAATCACGAGTATGACATTCGTTTTTGGCGCTGGCAGGCAGTTGACCACCACTTTTCTAACCAAAGTCGGTGTAAATTTGGCTACTGGGGTTATTCGGTCCCTTGATCACAAACATGACATTCATTTTTTTTTGCCCTAGCGTCGTTTGGCAAACAGCCTCTTTCATCGAAATCGATAAGGACTCGCATATTAGGGTTGTTTGATGCCATGAACACGAATATGGCATTCATTTTTCGACACCATTGCCATTTAGCACCTACTAAGTAGGAAGGTCGTTCAGGTCGTGGTGAGCTTTTCAAAAACAGTTTGTTGCATGATGTAGGGGTCCATGCAAGGACCACACAGATGGGGTTCATTTTTGCTAAACGGTATTGGGAATGCCAAAAAAGGGTCGAAAAATTCGAAAAGATGGGCGATTTGAACCACCTTATTCAGCTCCGTTCTAGCTGTATCGTTGAGAGTGTATAGTTTATGAGGTGAACTTTGAGTAGACATGAAAAACAACGCAGAAGAAGGTCAAATCCAAGTACTTTACCTGGCATGTGGTGAGCTACATTGAAGTTTCATCGTCATCCCCGCATGCTTCTTCAATGGCTCCCGCATCTCACCCGTCGCAGCGGACGGATGGTGTAGTGGATAGTGCGACGGATTCTCAAGTGTCTACGCTGCCAGCTAGGTACATCGGATTTTGACTCCTGCGTTTGAATTTCATGTCTGCCAAGCTTACCGTCACTAAACTATTTGAGCTCGATAGGATACAGCTAGAATGCATGCTGAACAAACGTCGGTTCGAAATCGCCAATTTTTCTTTTGCTGACCCTCTTTTTTGCATTCCCGTTACCATTTATCAAAAATGAACCCCATCCGTGTGGTCCCTGCATGGACCCCTACATCTGCAACAAACTGTTTTTAGAAGCTCACTACGGCCTGCTAGCACGGACCCTCCCTTTGTAAGGCCTGAGCACTGCGCCGCAAAGGATTCCCTTCAGGCCAAGCTCGGCCTTAGCAGAGCGAAGACGATCGTAGCGTCCGCCATACGCGCCAGCGCCAAGAATGAACGTCATATTTGCAGTGAGGATGCCAAATAATCCCCTTATCCAGGTTTGAGTAGGTTTCGTTATTTAGGGTATCTTGGCGCGGGCGCCAGGCACGTTCATGCCGAGCGGATATGATATCCGTGTTCAGGGGGTAAAACGTTTTCAGCGAATTCGGTAATTCGGATAACGGCGCAGGCTTCAAGCGGTTTCGTGCTAAGTGGAAAAGATATTCGTGTTCAGGAGGTCCAACTGCCCCTAAAACCGAGTTTTTAGAAAAATCTGCCCCCCCCCTCGAGTATAATTCAAATGGGGTCGCGTAAGACAGCGCCCGGTCGTGGTCGCGCTATTCAGTCGCTCGAGTGATCGGTTCACGAAGCCTGTACGGTGTTACTTTACAGTTATGATCTGTCTTCACTGATAGCTTAGTTGTCCAACCCGACAAATTCCTCCAAAGGAATCTGCAATCGATATAAAAGGCAATTTTCAGTTCTCTCAGTCTGACAGCCGAAACTTCGTGTTGACAGAATTTTGATTGGCGAGAGGTGTTATGCATTAAAAAGTTCAGAATTGTTTTCTTTTGTGTTTTGATATTTATAATAACCACTGTGACCGTTTAAGGGAGCGCCGCACGAAGGTTAATGACTTGGAGAGCGATTATTCCAGCATAGAGAACAGTCCCTATCTAACAGCCGAGGTTGGCATTTTCACGATTTCTGGCATTCTTTTATTCGCATTGTTTTTTTTAAGGAACGCCACGCAATAATCCAACGCCGTTTGGAATTGGAAGAGATCAAAGAGAGACGCAAGAGAAACATAGTTATCAATCTCAATGTTACTGATGTCACCGTTAGCGAAGGGGTGCGTATTTATTCTAATGGTTCATGTTTCAGTACTTTTCTAACAAGGGAATGGTTTGAACTTCCCATGGAACTTTGAATGGAGACCTACATCGATAGAGCCTCGAATGCTGATTACGAATATGCAGATTAAAAGTGCTACGGGGACCTCTCCAGACGAGATCTGGGTGGTCAAAGTTTGCAAAAACTCACTTTTGGCTGAGCGCCGCTGATCGGTCCTTGGGCAGTGCCACCGTGGCCTAGTGGTAATGGTCTCGCTTCAAAGCCGTAATATCGTGGGTTTGCATCCCGTTGGCAAGGAAATTTTTGCTTCGTCTCCTGTGGGAGCTTTTACTCAAACATTCGAAATTCTTCCGAGTTTACGGCCCAGGAGCAAGTAGATCGAATAGATCAAGTATATGACGCAATCGATCGAGTATGGAGTTAGTCACTATACCTCTCTGAACTTATTACCCTTCCGACAAGTTTTGCAAAGGATCAACACTTGCTACTTGCTCTGCCGGGCCGTAAACTCGGAAGAATTTCGAAAATTAGAGTAAAAGCTCTTATAGGGAGCGAAGCAATTCCGCACCAACTGGATGCGAACCCACAAGTACTTGGCTTTAAAGTGAAACCGTCACCACTAGGCCACGGTGGCACTTTCCGCTGATCGATCCGCGGCGCTGAGCCAAAACTGAGTTTTCGCAAAGTTTTGACCACCCAGATCTCGTCTGGGAGGTCCCCGTAGCACTTTTAATCTGCATATTCGTAATCAGCATTCGAGGCTCTATCGATGTACCTAGGTCTCCATTCAAAGTTCCATGGGAATTTCAAACCATTCCCTTGTAAGGGTACGATTATCACTCGTTTACAAGCAAACGGATCTTCGTGGGCCTAGTTTAAGATCAGCGAGGGGTTATTAGTTGAGAAGCGCGGGGCATACGTTGTGGGCGGGGCGTGCCCCGAGGTGGGTGGAGCCAAATTTAAAAAATTCGCAAAACGGTTCCAGAGCACTGCAGACCCCCGGGGGAGGGGTAACGGGTTGACAAGTGTGAGGCATACCCGTTGTGAGTGGAGCGTGCGTCGAGGTGGGCGATTCCGGTCCTAAAACTTCTTCAAACGGTTGCAGAGCACTCTAGGCACTCCAGACCTCTTCTGAGATACGGCTCAGCTTTGCGGGGCTCCATCGCGCCTACCTGCATTCGTATGATCAAATGCTCGACCAATTCCCGGCTTTTCTCTCATCTGCGCACTTGATCAGCGCTCCTTACCACCATTCCATACACCGTAATAGTGTTGAAAATAGCAGGCATGATGTGGAATATGAACATGCTATTGGTCAAAGAATGTTGACCATCTGTTCAAATAAAAGAAAAGCCGGATACTAGGTGGGTACTGAAATGTGTGGAAGAATATAAGGCATTGTTCACAGTCTCCAGGCCCTGACGAAACG